TATATATGAATTAATGCATTAATTCAATCAATCTATATTTATTCACTTCTACAATTCAAGATGTAGAATTTCTAATGTATCAAAATATTTTGGCAAATTTGTTCAAAACGCAGCTGAATATATAGCGCATATTTATTATTACATAAACATGAACAAAAAAACGTGCCTTTTGAGGCTTCCAAACAGTCTTTTTGGCCGGCTTCCTGCTGACCTGTCACGAAGACGTGGCGTGAAACACGCGATTGCTGCATAATTCTAGGCGTGACTAAATACGTTCGTATTCAGCCGATTTATCAACACCCGCAGCTGCGTACGCTCAGAACTGGGCGGATCTCACATGTTCATAAATCCGACGTTGGATTTTGCGTAAATGGAATATATACCCAAAATGTACTTTTTCTACGCAAGTTTCATAAATAAGCTTGTGTGTATGTGCGCGCGTGAGTGCGTGTGCGTGCGTGTGTGCGTTTGAACCATATTCTTTGAAACCCCAATTCCAGTTAGCCCTTGTAGTTTGCAAGCGAATTTGGCCTACTCACTAATCTGCAGGCCTACCCAAAATTGCAAACCTGGCGCCGCTACTGTTGCGAGGATGAACGGAGGGAGATATGTTTCCAAAAAAAAAAGGTGGTGGAGCTAATTTTACTTTTCTTATCTGCAACACGTTCTTATTCTGAGGTGGTAGGTTGGAAAAATGTAGTTGGCTACTACAATGCGAGATCTACAAGGCTTATAATATAAAGTATTCAGTAGCCCTAGACTAGTTATATGCGAAAGCCGCTTGTTGCTCCATTATCCGCGCGCAGCAATAACATGTCTATGAGCGAGGCCCGCAGTCGGGGAACACCGGGCCCTCCGGCGTTTGGAAGGTCCGATGTTCCCCGGGTCCGGTGTTCCCCGGGGAACATCGGACCCGGGGAACATCGGACCCGGGGAACATCGGACCCGGGGAACATCGGGCCGACCCCAGTAACAGCTAGGCTAGTAACAGCTAGGCTAGTAACAGGTAGGCTAGTAACAGCTAGGTTAGTAACATTTAGGCTAGTAACAGCTATGCGAGTAACAGTTAGGCTAGTAACAGCTAGGCTAGTAACAGCTAGGCTAGTAACAGTTAGGCTAATAACAGTTAGGATGGTAACAACTAGGCTAGAAACAGCTAGGTCTCCCTCTGGACTCTTTCTGGTCTCCCTCTGGTCTCTCTCTGGTCTCCCTCTGGTCTCCCTCTGGTCTCCCTCTGGTCTCCCTCTGGTCTCCCTCTGGTCTCCCTCTGGTCTCTCTCTGGTCTCTCTCTGGTCTCTCTCTGGTCTCTCTCTGGTCTCTCTCTCTTGTCTCTCTCTCTGGTCTCTTTCTGGTGTCTCTCTCTTGTCTCTCTCTGGTCTCTCTCTGGTCTCTCTCTGGTCTCTCTCTGGTCTCTCTCTGGTCTCTCTCTGGTCTCTCTCGCTCTGGTTTCCCTCTGGTCTCTCTCTGGTCTCTTTCTGGTCTCTTGCTGGTCTCTCTCTGGTCTCTCTCTGGTCCCTCTCTGGTCTCTCTCTGGTCTCTCTCTCTCTGGTTTCCCTCTGGTCTCTCTCTGGTCTCCCTCTGGTCCTTCTCTGGTCCCTCTCTGGTCCCTCTCTGGTCTCTCTCTGGTCTCCCTCTGGTCCCTCTCTGGTCCCTCTCTGGTCCCTCTCTGGTCCCTCTCTGGTCTCTCTCTGGTCTCTCTCTGGTCCCTCTCTGGTCCCTCTCTGGTCCCTCTCTGGTCTCTCTCTGGTCTCTCTCTGGTCCCTCTCTAGTCTCTCTCTCTCTGGTCTCCCTCTGGTCTCTCTCTGGTCTCTCTCTGGTTTCTCTCTGGTCCCTCTCTGGTTCCTCTCTGGTCCCTATCTGGTCTCCCTCTGGTCTCTCTCTGGTCCCTCTCTGGTCCCTCTATGGTCTCTCTCTGGTCTCTCTCTGGTCCCTCTCTGGTCCCTCTCTGGTCCCTCTCTGGTCTCTCTCTGGTCTCTCTCTGGTCTCCATCTCTCTGGTCTCCATCTCTCTGGTCTCCCTCTGGTCTCTCTCTGGTCTCTCTCTGGTCTCCCTCTGGTCTCTCTCTGGTCCCTCTCTGGTCCCTCTCGGGTCCCTCTCTGGTCCCTCTCTGGTCTCTCTCTGGTCTCTCTCTGGTCTCTCTCTGGTCTCTCTCGCTCTGGTTTCCCTCTGGTCCCTCTCTGGTCCCTCTCTGGTCTCTCTCTGGTCTCTCTCTCTCTGGTTTCCCTCTGGTCTCTCTCTGGTCTCTCTCTCTCTGGTTTCCCTCTGGTCTCTCTCTCTTGTCTCTCTCTGGTCTCTCTCTGGTCCGTCTCTGGTCTCTCTCTGGTCCCTCTCTGGTCCCTCTCTGGTCCCTCTCTGGTCTCTCTCTGGTCTCTCTCTGGTCTCTTTCTGGTCTCTCTCTGGTCCCTCTCTGGTCCCTCTCGGGTCCCTCTCGGGTCCCTCTCGGGTCCCTCTCGGGTCCCTCTCGGGTCCCTCTCGGGTCCCTCTCTGGTCTCTCTCTGGTCTCTCTCTGGTCCCTCTCTGGTCTCTCTCTGGTCCCTCTCTGGTCTCTCTCTGGTCTCTCTCTGGTCTCTCTCTGGTCTCTCTCTCTCTCTCTGGTCTCTCTCTGGTCCCTCTCTGGTCCCTCACTGGTCTCTCTCTGGTCTCTCTCTGGTCTCTCTCTGGTCTCTCTCTGGTCTCTCTCTGGTCTCTCTCTGGTCTCTCTCTGGTCTCTCTCTGGTCCCTCTCTGGTCCCTCGCTGGTCTCTCGCTGGTCTCTCGCTGGTCTCTCGCTGGTCTCTCGCTGGTCTCTCGCTGGTCTCTCGCTGGTCTCTCTCTGGTCTCTCTCTGGTCTCTCTCTGGTCTCTCTCTGGTCTCTCTCTGGGCCCTCTCTGGTCTCTCTCTGGTCCCTCTCTGGTCCCTCTCTGGTCTCTCTCTGGTCTCTCTCTCTCTGGTCTCCCTCTGGTCTCTCTCTCTCTGGTCTCCCTCTGGTCTCCCTCAGGTCTCTCTCTGGTCTCTCTCTGGTCTCTCTCTGGTTTCTCTCTGGTCCCTCTCGGGTCCCTCTCGGGTCCCTCTCTGGTCCCTCTCTGGTCCCTCTCTGGTCTCTCTCTGGTCCCTCTCTGGTCCCTCTCTGGTCCATCTCTGGTCTCTCGCTGGTCTCTCTCTGGTCTCTCTCTGGTCTCTCTCTGGTCCCTCTCTGGTCTCTCTCTGGTCTCTCTCTGGTCTCTCTCTGGTCTCTCTCTGGTCTCTCTCTCTCTGGTCTCCCTCTGGTCTCCCTCTGGTCTCCCTCAGGTCTCCCTCAGGTCTCCCTCAGGTCTCCCTCAGGTCTCTCTCTGGTCTCTCTCTGGTCTCTCTCTGGTCTCTCTCTGGTCTCTCTCTGGTCTCTCTCTGGTCTCTCTCTGGTCTCTCTCTGGTCTCTCTCTGGTCTCTCTCTGGTCTCTCTCGGGTCTCTCTCGGGTCTCTCTCGGGTCTCTCTCGGGTCTCTCTCTGGTCTCTCTCTGGTCCCTCTCTGGTCCCTCTCTGGTCTCTCTCTGGTCTCTCGCTGGTCTCTCTCTGGTCTCTCTCTGGTCTCTCTCTGGTCCCTCTCTGGTCCCTCTCTGGTCCCTCTCTGGTCTCTCTCTGGTCTCTCTCTGGTCTCTCTCTGGTCTCTCTCTGGTCTCTCTCTGGTCTCTCTCTGGTCTCTCTCTGGTCCCTCTCTGGTCTCTCTCTGGTCTCTCTCTGGTCCCTCTCTGGTCCCTCTCTGGTCTCTCTCTGGTCTCTCTCTCTCTGGTCTCTCTCTGGTCTCTCTCTGGTCTCTCTCTGGTCCCTCTCGGGTCCCTCTCGGGTCCCCCTCCCTCGCTGGTCTCTCTCTGGTCTCTCTCTGGTCTCTCTCTGGTCTCGCTCTGGTCCCTCTCTGGTCTCTCTCTGGTCTCTCTCTGGTCTCTCTCTGGTCTCTCTCTGGTCTCTCTCTGGTCTCTCTCTGGTCTCTCTCTGGTCCCTCTCTGGTCTCTCTCTGGTCTCTCTCTGGTCCCTCTCTGGTCTCTCTCTCTCTGGTCTCACTCTGGTCTCACTCTGGTCTCACTCTGGTCTCCCTCTGGTCTCCCTCTGGTCTCCCTCTGGTCTCCCTCTGGTCTCCCTCTGGTCTCCCTCTGGTCTCCCTCAGGTCTCCCTCAGGTCTCTCTCTGGTCTCTCTCTGGTCTCTCTCTGGTCCCTCTCGGGTCCCTCTCTGGTCTCTCTCTCTCTGGTCTCCCTCTGGTCTCCCTCTGGTCTCCCTCAGGTCTCCCTCAGGTCTCCCTCTGGTCTCTCTCTGGTCTCTCGCTGGTCTCTCGCTGGTCTCTCTCTGGTCTCTCTCTGGTCTCTCTCTGGTCTCTCTCTGGTCTCTCTCTGGTCCCTCTCTGGTCTCTCTCTGGTCTCTCGCTGGTCTCTCGCTGGTCTCTCTCTGGTCTCTCTCTGGTCTCTCTCTGGTCTCTCTCTGGTCTCTCTCTGGTCCCTCTCTGGTCTCTCTCTGGTCTCTCTCTCTCTGGTTTCCCTCTGGTCTCTCTCTGGTCTCTCTCTGGTCTCTCTCTGGTCTCTTTCTGGTCTCTCTCTGGTCTCTCTCTGGTCCCTCTCTGGTCCCTCTCTGGTCCCTCTCTGGTCTCTCTCTGGTCTCTCTCTCTCTGGTTTCCCTCTGGTCTCTCTCTGGTCTCTCTCTGGTCTCTCTCTGGTCTCTTGCTGGTCTCTTGCTGGTCTCTTGCTGGTCTCTCGCTGGTCTCTCGCTGGTCTCTCTCTGGTCTCTCTCTGGTCCCTCTCTGGTCTCCCTCTGGTCTCCCTCTGGTCTCCCTCTGGTCTCCCTCAGGTCTCCCTCAGGTCTCCCTTTGGTCTCTCTCTGGTCTCTCTCTGGTCCCTCTCGGGTCCCTCTCGGGTCCCTCTCTGGTCCCTCTCTGGTCCTCTCTGGTCTCTCTCTGGTCCCTCTCTGGTCCCTCTCTGGTCTCTCTCTGGTCTCTCTCTGGTCCCTCTCTGGTCCCTCTCTGGTCTCTCTCTGGTCTCTCTCTGGTCCCTATCTGGTACTTACGGTTCATTGACCACAAAGATGCAGTTGTCCTGGGAGGGGGATCCGGACAGTGGGTGTTTACAGGTCACTTTCCGCTCGTTATGACTGAAAAATAGAACACACCACACACTGTTACAGATGGACAATGCTAACATGCTAGCTCAATGCTAACATGCTAGCTCAACAAAACCCAAGAGGGAAGTGCTCATGGACAAAGTTTTGCTCCAACTCACTCTGGCTCCTATGGACTTACATGTAAAAGTAACTCGCTCAGTGACTGTTGGTGTCACTCTAGTAGGGGTGTATCGCGATACTTTCTCCCGCGATTCGATTATTGATATGCATTTGCCAAGTATCAATATCGATTTTGAAAAAAAAAAAAATAGATTTTTTTTTTCTTTACTTTAAAAAAAAAAACTTAATAAATGGCTACATTACGCATCTCCATTCTATTTATCATGAAATAAAGAGTATTTTTTCTTTTATTTATGCCATAAATTGGCATATTGTATATTTCTGACCAATATATCAATAATCGTCATATCGTGATAAAATCGTTATCGTGATATTGTTATCGTGATATCGTTATTGTGATATCGTTATTGTGATATCGTTATCGTGATATTATCGTTATTGTGAGCTTTGTATCGTGTATCGTATTGTATCGTGAGGTACCCTTAGGTTCCCACTAGGGTTTAATCCTGGGATACGGAATTCCCGGGAAATCTGATCAAAACTATTTCCTGATTCCCGGGAAATGTTATGACGGGAAACGGGGAATGAAAGTAAAAAAAAAAATACAGTGCGCTCCTATTATAAAGCACGGCATTGTTGTTCAAAGTTCAAACATATTTAATTTACAATCAACATGTCTACAGCTGAGAGGATGGCTCATAAATTGTGTTTTTGACAACAAATATGGGTCTTAATCGCGCTAAACCACGACTTGTAATGAGGCCAGCCTCAGGGTACGGGGCGCATGTGAGCCCAGAATTTGGTTACGTCTAATTCTATCAGAAAGCTCCTTTCTTTTTTTCCATCTGCTAAGGGCAGCAACAGGTTTGGCTAACATACATATAACACATATTAAGATCATATAAAATGCATTTAGGGTAATGTTCTGCTTCCAATGACGATAGGAATGATAAGGAAGAGAGGAGAAGGGTAAGAAGGTTGATATTAGAAATTGGATGCGCCCGAGAGCCGGCTGCAGTCAGCGAAAACACAGAGGAGTTTATGGAGGTGGCACCCGTTTTGTTTTACGCTTTAAAACTCTTTGGGCTTATTTCCAAATGGGGGCTTACATATCTGCGCTCAAACTATTATCTGGACTTAAACATGAAACTGGTCTGAACCGAAGTGGTCTGTGCTGTTCATTAATAACTAAGGTAAGACCCATAACACAATTGGAAATGTGCCTTTTACGGACTTTTGCGTTTTGTTTGAGCAAACAATGCGGGCCATGGAAAACATTCTGCTGTAGCCAAACTAATTGTGAATAAGCCGCTCTGTAGGTTCTGTTGATTTATATGATATATGTTCATCTGACAGGGCTGAAGTCAGTGCCTCCAAACCACACCGCACGTCACTGGTCGACAAGTGGATTGCTCAGACATTTAGAATCTCATGATAGTGAAATTCCTGAAGAAAGCCCATCAACAAAACGTCTGAAAACGCTATGGCTACTTTAGAAAAGTTAGCACGTCGCTTGGTGAAACACTAGTGGAGATGGCAGCTTTTGTTGGATTATATATTTGAGTGATATCATACATTACTTGGGCTAAAAACAACAACTACAAACAACAGCTATTTCCCGGGATTTCCCGGGAAAGGCGTCGTCTTTTCCCGGGATTTGATACGTCTCATTTTCGGGAAAAATATTAAACCCTAGTTCCCACCCCTACACTCTAGATCTATTTAAAGCTGCGGTCCCTAACATCCAAACCACCATGGAACCAGCACAATCATCAGTGTGTGAATGTGACCATAACAACACAAATGTGACTGATGCCAAAGGATCCACTGCAGATTCCTCTGAGACAAAGAACAGAGAAACCCATTCTAATATTTTCTCTCCCTGGTCTCTCTCTCTGGTCTCTCTCTGGTCTCTCTCTGGTCTCTCTCTGGTCTCTCTCTGGTCTCTCTCTGGTCTCTCTCTGGTCTCTCTCTGGTCTCTCTCTGGTCTCTCTCTGGTCTCTCTCTGGTTTCTGGTCTCTCTCTGGTCTCTCTCTGGTTTCTGGTCTCTCTCTGGTCTCTCTCTGGTCTCTCTCTGGTCTCTCTCTGGTCTCTCTCTGGTCTCTCTCTGGTCTCTCTCTGGTCTCTCTCTGGTCTCTCTCTCTGGTCTCTCTCTCTGGTCTCTCTCTGGTTTCTGGTCTCTCTCTGGTCTCTCTCTGGTTTCTGGTCTCTCTCTGGTCTCTCTCTGGTCTCTCTCTGGTCTCTCTCTGGTCTCTCTCTGGTCTCTCTCTGGTCTCTCTCTGGTCTCTCTCTGGTCTCTCTCTGGTCTCTCTCTGGTCTCTCTCTGGTCTCTCTCAGGTCTCTCTCTGGTCTCTCTGTGTCCCATTGACTTACATGAAAAAGTGAACTCCTAGAGAGATCAAAGCGAGAGACCAAAGAGAGAGACAGAGATAGAGAGAGACCAGAGAGAGAGAAGAGAGAGAAAGAAAGAGAGCGACCAGAGAGAGACCAGAGAGAGACCAGAGAGAGAGACCAGAGAGAGTAAAAGTTGATTAAAAAACAGATTGAGTCAAACTAATGTCATGGACATTACATACTGTACATGTGTAAAAGTCACATGTCAGTATAATATGTCACATGTCTTTATAACATGTCACATGTATAATTATAATACAAGTATAATTATAATATGTATAAAAGAGCAAAGGTCACATGTTTGTGTGAATGTGACTCACTGAAAAACTGCAGTTTTGCCAAAAAATTCACATTTTTCAGGATCAGCTCAACCTCAGAGCAGAAGAGGATCTTTCACTTCCTCTCACACACACCATGAGAGACCAGAGAGAGACCAGGGAGAGACCAGAGAGAGACCAGAGAGAGAGACCAGGGAGATACCAGAGAGAGACCAGAGAGAGAGACCAGAGAGAGACCAGAGAGGCCTTTTATCCTGTTGTGGTATCTGGAGAGATCTTGGTCCCCTGTGTTCCCCCCTCACTCATGGGTCCAGGGGGCGGGTCTTCTGCAGCAGGGTGGGACTTCCTGTTTGTCCACACTTCAGATCTGATTCACGCCAATCTCTGCCGTTCTAACTAATGGGCCAAAAAGTGTGCTCTACTGGAGCTATCCAAAATGGCCGCGCCCACAAGGAAATTGTGAAAAAACTCATCTGTGCATGCGTCAGCCGGCGAGAGCTCCATTCATTTAAACGAGAGACTTCTAAAGTCCACAGCGACTAAACTAGACTGGTCCAGAACACCCCCCTCAGCATTGACACACATGTGGAACGGAGCTTTGGGCCAAGAGCCAACTTTTGGACCATCCTGTAAAGACGTTTTCCAGAGGTAAGGAGATGCTATATGTTAGCATTGGCTAATTCTTATTCCGGGTCCACCCCCACAGGCCCGGGGTGGTATTGCAGCATGTCAGTGCACGTCATTTTGGACACTTTTGAACTAGGACCCGCCCCCAATGGTCAGAACCATCTGCATTCAACCCACCTCTGCACCTAGTCTGTGTGCTGAGGCCTTATGAGGATCAATGTTTACATCCGTGTGCGCCCCTCGCTGTGAGGCAGAAGACAGAGGCACCGACTGAAGCCTGGATACAGTACTTTTAAAAGACTCAGTGAGAAATGCACTGTATATAAGCACTTTAACAATAGCACTGTATATAAGCACTTTAACAATAGCACTGTATATAAGCACTTTAACCATAGCACTGTATATAAGCACTTTAACAATAGCACTGTGTATAAGCACTTTAACAATAGCACTGTATATAAAAGCACTTTAACAATAGCGCTGTATATAAGCACTTTAACAATAGCACTGTATATAAGCACTTTACCAATAGCACTGTGTATAAGCACTTTAACAATAGCACTGTATATAAGCACTTTAACCATAGCACTGTATATAAGCACTTTAACAATAGCACTGTGTATAAGCACTTCAACAATAGCACTGTATATAAAAGCACTTTAACAATAGCGCTGTATATAAGCACTTTAACAATAGCACTGTGTATAAGCACTTTAACAATAGCACTGTATATAAGCACTTTAACAATAGCACTGTCTATAAGCACTTTAACAATTGTAAGGTGAATTAAAGGACACCCAGTCGAACATTGACCAGCAGACCAGGATACGTAAACATGCCCTCCTGAGCATGACCCATCTTGAGCCACATCTAAGGGACGACCAGGTCAACCAGAGGACATCATCGGTCACCGAGACCATAAGTGTCAACCAGGGCAATAAACTGAGCCCCAGAATAAACATCTTTGTACCTTTCTGCCCGGCAGAGATCAAAGATCACAACTCTGCTCTCACTCCCGGGACATTCCGGTCCCTGGACAATCAACGACTCACCCACGGCGTTCTGGCGCCCCCCAGTGGACACTGAACACTATCACACCCGGGACGGACATTTTAAACCAGCACTCCTGGATTCATTATTCCGATAATCTGTACTGTGCCCTACACGTGTGTATCATTGTCAAGTAATGTAAATGCGGTGTGTGCCTGTACATGTGTTATGAATGTCTGTATTAATCCTGCGTTTTGCCATTATAACATGTCTGTTGTGAAGGATGTCCAGGGAGGCGCACAAGGATGACGTCACGGACGCGCCCCCTTTGGAAGTCAATAAAAACACACACAATGCAGAGATACTTCCTCTTGGCTTCCCTTGCAATCATTGTAACAACCTTCCCTTTTGGTACGTGTCTCCTACACGGCCTACGCCCGCCACCACCTCGGGCCCGTATATTCACAAGGACAGCAGCCACTCTCGCTGTCGGAGACGAGGACTTCCATCACCAGCCACTTTCGGGCTCTCTGGACACCCCACCGCAACGCTATTCTAGACCGTGTTGTGTGTGGAACCCACGTTTGGATCCGACCTGCTGGTTTCCTCCTGCTCCCCGTTCGGACAAAGAACACGTGGACGAGACCCTCGCTTTTTCCCATCTCCATTCTTCATTCTCATCCTCTCACTGCCCTCCATCGCCATCACCTCCCGTGGACTTCTCAAAGTAAGACTGTTCTTTGTTGGAGTGTGATTCAAATGATATGTATGGCAATCTTTACTTAATGTGACCAGAAAACCATTTTCGTTGATATTTTCTATTTTCATTTTTGTAGTCAATAAACCCACGTTAACTTTAACTCAATCATTTAAGCGTCGTGTTTTAAATCTTGGGTATCCCTGGCTGATTTTTGTACTCAACCCCATCAGATTTGTGATACTGGTATCGAGGCAAATATCCCTTGGTCTGTCGCAGACTCTCAATGTCTGCTGGTGCCCTAAATAAATAAGACAGATCCCTTGGTGGAACGGCGAGTTTCTGATCCGGAGACTAGCCGCTCCACACTACAATTCTAGTTATCCTACACAATAGCGCTGTATATAAGCACTTTAACAATAGCACTGTATATAAGCACTTTAACAATAGCACTGTATATAAGCACTTTAACAATAGCACTGTAGATAACCACTTTAACAATAGCACTGTAGATAAGCACTTTAACAATAGCACTTTAACAGTAGCACTGTAGCACTTTAACACCAGAAGATCAGAGGCGATACAGTATATAGACAAGCTAAACATATATGAGACCGAACTGAACAGACCCAAAGCCCAGATGAGACCTGGGACGACCACAAACGTCAGACTCTGTGCTGGCACCGATCTGCGAGACATTTATTCTTCATAGAAAACCCGGGACCCTTCACGCAAGATGGGTCCGTGGTGAAAAACATTAAAAGCAGGCTGCCCCTTTTTTCTGTGACTTACGGTAAACGTGAAAAAGGAGCGTGCGGGATGAGCAACCAAAATGCAATGTTTAAAATGAATCATCACAGTGTAATTATGATAGATCCACGGTGAAAAAGTGCAGTGAAAGTAGTTGCAAAACTAGGGATGTAAATCGGCGACCGGTTAACCGGTGGTTGACCGTCACAGCGTTAACCGGTCAAAGCTGTCGGTTAAAAAAGAGAAAAAGGGGAGAGGGGAGGTCTCTTAATAACGCTATTTTAAGCCCTATTTGCACGGTGTGACGAGCGGGTCTGTATCTAGCTGTATGCGCCCATGTATTATAAACTCCGGGACGACTCTCACGCCGCACGAGCCACATATGCACACACGCACGCGCGCGCACACACACACACACACTTTCCCCCTCTCCATGCGTAACATCCACACGCATCATCTCTCCCCTCTTTTACCGTCAAAGTTGCACACTGGGCGCGGGTCAGAACTACATTGGAGCTTACATTTACACACACACACATATACATACACACACACATACACACACACATACATACACACACACATACCGGTCTGTCGCGCTCCTCTGTGTCACGGAGCCCAAAGGATTCGCGCAAATACGCGGCTCCTTTTGGGAGTCGCGTATTTCCCCTACATGTTTTGCTGTAGGGGAAACATGTTTGTGTTTATGGTCCTCGGGATCAGCTCCACACACATCACTTGTATTTAAACTTTTGTGAAGACCTGTGAGACGCGGCTCGTCACTCGCTGCTCTGACCATGTGAACGAGCCGTGTTTGCTGCTAGAAAGTTTTGGTATTAACCCGCAGCTCCGCAGAAATGGGAAGATTAAAAAAGCAGTTCTCTGTGCGCAAAGGTGCCGGAGCTGTTGCGGGTTTGGGCGCCGCTGTCTTGGCTCTGATCCAGTAGAACGCAGAGCTGCACTTATGAAAAGTACGCGGCTCGAAATGGCTGTTATTTCAAAGAACGTGGACTATTTTAAACTACGCGGTTAACCGGTTTCAACCGGTTAATGAGGCTCGGTGGTCGGTCATGAAAATTCATAGTTTTTTACATCCCTATGCAAAACTTTATTTTTTTAATGATTTTTTTTATCCCCTTATCCCCCGGCTTCCTAGCCTGGCTCTGCCAGACCCTTGTAGTTCCGCCATGCTCCACCAGAAGCGTTTGGCTGAACCACATGGGTCTGGAATCGACGCCATAGCGAACGCCTTCCCCAGATTATTTTTTAATCGACCAATCAGGATTGCCGGTGTTACGTGGGGTTTGCACCGCCTCCTCAAGCTTCTCTCATGCAGCAGCGAGAGGAATCCAAGATGGCGGACGTAAAGTCCGCGAATCTTTTTAAAAGAGTAAATACGATTGAATTAAGACACGGATGTCACTTTTAATGCAATTTGAGGCGTGATGGTTCTATGTTGATATATGTGTGTTTTAAGAGTCAAATGTTCCTGTAAAGTTTGGTTGAAGCACTGGTTCAGTGTTCCTGTTTACACACTATGCAGCAGGGTTGCCAGGTTTGGTGGTTCCCGAATTTTTTTTTCCAAGACACTTGTAGGTATTAAATAAAGAGAAAGACAATAAACACGATCATGATAGCCCAAGTTGATTACATTACGTTTTTAGCCAAAAAATCATTCTGAGAGTTTTCTTTTTTTTTGGGGTATTCTCGCGGATTTTGGGTTGGAAAAACTTGCTGGGATTTGGCAACCTATGGGAGCCGTGTGCTTCGATGTGAGTGGTTGAAAGCAGACTTCATTCAAGATAACGGACAAGTGGTCTATCCAATCACATACAAGGATTTTTTTTACAAGGCCCTGCCTTCTGAAATCCAACCACTATGGCTCAGTACCAAACTCATGTGTGAAGTGCAGCGAACTACATGGGTCTGGCAAGAGTCAGGCTACCGGCTTCCCACTCTATGTTTACCGTAGGTGACAGCATAAAGAGGCAACCCGCTTTTTGCTGTTCTTTTCCGATGTAATTAGAACAAAAATCTTGGACCAAGTTGCCATTTAATTTAGTAAAACCTCTCTCCAAACGTCTAAAACTAACTCTCTAGCATCCAGGAGCTTCCTATGCTGTTTTACCACAGAGTCACATGACCAGAGGAGAAACTATCAACAACAACATCACTCCAAGATCCACCTATACACCAGAGAGATGGAGACCAGAGAGAGAGGCCAGAGAGAGAGACCAGAGAGAGAGAGAGGCCAGAGAGACCAGAGAGAGAGAGGCCAGAGAGAGAGAGGCCAGAGAGAGAGAGACCAGAGAGAGAGGCCAGAGAGAGAGACCAGAGAGAGAGAGGCCAGAGAGAGAGAGGCCAGAGAGAGAGGCCAGAGAGACCAGAGAGAGACCAGAGAGAGAGGCCAGAGAGAGAGACCAGAGAGAGAGAGGCCAGAGAGAGAGAGAGACCAGAGAGAGTGAGGCCAGAGAGAGGCCAGAGAGAGAGGTCAGAGAGACCAGAGAGAGACCAGAGAGAGAGAGGCCTGAGAGAGAGAGACCAGAGAGAGACCAGAGAGAGAGAGACCAGAGAGAAAGAGGTCAGAGAGAGAGAGACCAGAGAGAGACCAGAGAGACCAGAGAGAGACCAGAGAGAGACAGGCCAGAGAGAGAGAGGCCAGAGAGAGAGAGAGAGAGACCAGAGAGAGAGAGAGGCCAGAGAGAGAGAGACCAGAGAGAGAGAGGCCAGAAAGAGAGAGAGAGACCAGAGAGAGAGATGTCAGAGAGAGAGACCAGAGAGAGAGCGGCCAGAGAGAGAGAGACCAGATAGAGTGAGACCAGAGAGAGAGATACCAGAGAGAGAGATCAGAGCGAGGCCAGAGAGAGAGAGACCAGAGAGAGAGAGAGGCCAGAGAGAGAGACCAGAGAGAGAGAGGCCAGAGAGAGAGAGAGACCAGAGAGAGAACAGAGAAAGAGAGAGACCAGAGAGAGAGAGGCCAGAGAGAGAGATCAGAGAGAGAGAGCCCTCAGAATGGTCTCTCAGCTGCAGACCTCCACACTAACATACAGTTAGTACAGCGGTGGTGCTATTTATAGAGGCGCTATATTCACCCATATATGTGTGTCAGCTGCTGCTCCACAGGCCCCCAGCTCAGTGGCCTCAGGGGCCACCATCACCTCACCCCAACACACCCTCCTCACCCCATCACCCCACCCTCACCCCAACACACCATCCTCACCCCAACACACCCTCCTCACCCCATCACCCCACCCTCACCCCAACACACCCTCTTCACCCCATCACCCCACCCTCACCCCAACACTCCCTCCTCACCCCACCCTCACCCCAACACACCATCCTCACCCCAACACCCTCACCCCAACACACCATCCTCACCCCATCACCCTCACCCCAACACACCATCCTCACCCCACCCTCACCCCAACACACCATCCTCACCCCATCACCCTCACCCCAACCCACCATCCTCACCCCAACACCCCACCCTCACATCAACACACCATCCTCACCCTAATACCCACACTATAGGACACTTATAGTCACTATAGGTCACTTATAGTCGGCATATAGGGCGGCACGGTGGCTGAGTGGATAGCACTCTTGCCTCTCAGCAAGAAGGTCCTGGGTTCGAATCCCCGTCGGACCAGGGCCTTTCTGAGTGGAGTTTGCATGTTCTCCCTGTGTCTGCGTAGGTTTCCTCCGGGTACTCCGGTTTCCCCTACCACTAAAAATATGTCCAATAGTTCTGGCATGTGCCTCCTGTACTGGCCCCGCTCCCATCTCTGTGTGGAGTGAGAGACAATTGCCCAAAATTAACAATTGTAAACCGCTTTGAGACTCAGATCTGCAGTGAAAAGGCGGTATATAAATAAAAAACTTACTTACTAACTTACTAACTTACTTATAGTCACTATAGGACACTTATAGATTCAGATTCATTCAGATTTAGATTCATTTTATTTGCCATTTGCAGTAAAAACACCACATTGGAATACATTAGCAAAAGTCACCAGTGTGCACAGACAAATACAGACATAAAACAACATTAAAAGACAAAAATAAAACAAATAAAACGGTAAACAAATGTCACTGTGAAATCGATCGACTAAAACAGTTTCAAAACAAGTTCAAATCATTAAAGTGCTCTGTTCAAACTGATAACAGCTTGTGGATAAAAACTGTTAGCGTAACGAGATGTCCTGCATCTCAGAGAGCGATATCTTCTGCCAGAGGGAAGAAGCTGGAACATGGCTTTCCCAGGGTGGCCAGAAGAGTCATTGACAATCCTAAGAGCTTTGTTTAAAAGACTGGATTTATAAAGAACCTCCAGAACAGGAAGCTCACAGCCCACGGTCCTCTTTGCAGAGCGGAGCACCTTGTTTAAAGCTCTCTTTTCTTTATCTGTGATGTTTCCAAACCACACAGACACAGAACCAACAAGTAAACTCTCAATGGTGCAGCGATAAAAGTTAAGCAGAATCTTAGAGTTAGTGGTAAATTCTCTAAGTTTACGCAGAAAGTAGAGACGCTGACGAGCTTTCTTAACGACTCGGTCAGTGTTTTTAACCCATTTCAGGTCAGAGTTAAACCCAGAAACTTGCACTGCTCTACGATCTGCACCTGGGAGTTGTCGATTACGACAGACAAATGAGAACTATTGCGACTGAAGTCGTAGACCAGTTCACATGTTTTCGATGCGTTCAACTGGAGGTTGTTAATTTTACTCCACTGAACCACATTTTGTATCTCTGCTCTAGTCACTATAGGACACTTATAGTCACTATAGGACACTTATAGTCACTATAGGACACTTATAGCAGTCACTATAGGCCCCTCTAGTCACTATAGGACACTTATAGTCACTATAGGACACTTATAGTCACTATAGGATACTTATAGTCACTATAGGACACTTAGAGTGTTCTTAGACCAGCTCTGTTTGTTACAAGTCTCTCCAAGGCCTCACACCAAAGTACATCTGGGACTCTGAGGAGCACAAGGACTGGCCTCCTGCTGGGACTCTGAGAAGCACAGGGACTGGCCTCCTGCTGGGACTCTGAGAAGCACAGGGACTGGCCTCCTGCTGGGACTCTGAGAAGCACAGGGACTGGCCTCCTGCTGGGACTCTGAGAAGCACAGGGACTGGCCTCCTGCTGGGACTCTGAGGAGCACAGGGACTGGCCTCCAGCTGGGACTCTGAGGAGCACAGGGACTGGCCCCCTGCTGTGACTCTGAGGAGCACAGGGACTGGCCTCCTGCTGGGACTCTGAGAAGCACAGGGACTGGCCTCCTGCTGGGACTCTGAGAAGCACAGGGACTGGCCTCCTGCTGGGACTCTGAGGAGCACAGGGACTGGCCCCCTGCTGTGACTCTGAGGAGCACAGGGACTGGCCTCCTGCTGGTCCCAGAGTCAGGACTAAACATGAGGAGGCAACATTTCAGACAACTAAATAACAGTCTTCTCTGACAATGATGGTGTAGCCTGGTCGTACCACACCATAGTACATATTTCATTTGTACTAAGGTCTGGATTTCCTCCATTGACTCCGTTAACAGATGGGAGGGGTTAACTCCTTTTGCAGATTGAAATAATTGGATCTGAGTTTACTGTGACGTAAGTAATGAGCTCGAGTGAGTCATTAGCATTTAGCATTTAGCCTAGCTTTAGCATTTAGCCTAGCGTTAGCTATCTCCTTTGCCGCTAACGGAGCCCGTGGGGAGTAGAGCTACAATCATTTGCTAAAATTCCTCTTGCTCCGGCTTCAGTTTCTTAATAGAACCAGACCAGAATTCTTTACCATCTCATTCATTGCCAAATTTCAACCTGCCCGTTCGGCGCTAACTCTGACGTCACCCACATCTAACTACAACTCCCGCCTCCCGCGCTCTCTGATTGGTCGGATGGAATTCAACCAAGGCCCCGACTCCACCGGGCGCGTAAAACGGACGACGGATCCGTCCAAACACGTCCGTTTCATCTCCGTCTTCGTTATCTCCATGAGGGTGAATGGAAGTGGCTCCACTGCCTCCGTATGCGTCCGTCCGACGCACGTTGGACGTATTCCGTTAACGGAGGGTGCAACGGACGCGGACGGACGAAATAGAAACAATCCTATTTGTTCCGTCCGTCGACGCGTGTCGGGTCCGTTTTCCATTGAAAATACAATGGAATAATATATTTACAACATAGTTAAACATGTATTGATATATGCTGTAGCCCTTGGTTATAAGTATTTGTTAATGACAATGATTATTAACAAGCGTGTGTAATTTTCTTCATGTATTACTTTAAATAATTGTTTCCTGATCGTAAATCTACCATTTATTTTTCGCGTAATGTTAATCTTTACATACACCTCGCTCTGTCCCGTCCAGGGCTGGACTGGCCATCGGGCGTACCGGGCAATGCCCGAAGGGCCGATGCCCATATTTGGGCCGGTCTGTCTGCCTCATACAAAAAACATGTTTGTGAAAAGTGTAAATCCGTTGAGAAATGTTTGAGGGGAGCGCGGGTGTCCGCGGGGCACCTGCTGTATGTACTCGAACGGGATTCCACCACCTCAGCGGCCGCAGTGTTCCCGCATCCAGCAACTCTGAGCTGGACGCAGGAACCACTCACCGGGAACCGCTCACAACACAACACGGGGAGCGCGTAGCCGCAACGTGCCCATGTACCCAAGACCATAAACGCGCACAGGACCATGTATGTCTTTTCGTAATTTGTGCACCCAATAAATACACCGCTGCAGAAAACAGTCCGCGTCTCCCCTCTCCTCTAAATTAAAGCTCGGGTACCTAAATTTTCCATTGCATTAAAAGTTCATGTTTGAGCCCAAAAGTAAAATGTTGTGAACAGATTAAAAAGATTTAGAGCCAGCTAAAGGCTGACAATATGCATTTCAGAAATTTTTACCAATTCTCATCCCTGTAACAAACAATAGTGTTGTCTGTGTCCACCTCCCTCACTCTGAGACATGTTTATTACTCTGTTTAATGTAGACTATTGTACTTTTTTGTACTTTATTGTACTATTTTATTGTTGAAACTGCAGACATCCTGATCCTCTACAGCAGCCATTCCCAAACTCAGTAACACCGAGGCCCCCTTAAAAATCTGACGGGTCTGCGTGGCCCCCCAAAATAATAACCAAGAAGACAACATTAAGAATAGGCTCTTCTGGTTATTTTATTTTGGGAAATAGCCTCTGCTACAAACATTGTAATACAAAAATGATTACAGTGAATTATTCAAGTCAAATAATGAACACAAATATTTTAATATTACAAACAAAACATTATAAATTTAACATTAAATAATTATATTATTTTTTTATTTTTTTTATGACCTCCTGCGGCCCCCCTGCAGTACCCTCGCGGCCCACCAGGGGCCGCGGACCCCACTTTGGGAGACACTGCTCTACAGTATTTGCTTCCACATACTGTATAAACCAGGGGTCGGCAACCTTTTTAGTGCCCCTAAAGTGGCTCCTGGAGCCTTTTCAAAAATGTCTGAAAATGGAGTGTGAGGGCTATATTTTATTTCTAGTTTCAATGTGGTTTCTGTAGGAGGAAAAACATTCTTAACGTTTTTCAATGCTGCAAAAACTTGTATAAGTAATAAGACGGTGAAAGAAAAGGCCATTAAGGACATTTAGCTCCAGCAAACTTCCGCCTGTGATGTGATGGATATGAACTGACAGTAATGCAGGTGAACTCGGAGCCAAAAAGCAGATTTATTTACTGTATTTGTACAATTGCAAGAAGGCAAAAAAATGGAAGTTAGCGAGACCAGAGAGAGACCAGAGAGAACAGAGAGCGAGACCAGAGAGAGAGACCAGAGAGAACAGAGAGAGACCATAGAGAGACCAGAGAGAGACCAGAGAGAGACCAGAGAGAGACCAGAGAGAGACCAGAGAGAGAACAGAGAGAACAGAGAGAGACCAGAGAGAGACCAGAGAGAGACCAGAGAGAGACCAGAGAGAGACCAGAGAGAGAGACCAGAGAGAGAGACCAGAGAGAGACCAGAGAGAGACCAGAGAGAGCCAAGAAAATCAAACAATACAAACAATACAAACAACTACACAGGAGCGATTGGTCAACAGGAGCAGGATGACCATTGTCCAGAATAACAAATGTTAATAGATGTTAATAAATGTTAATAAATGTGCACTAAAGGCTAGTCCTGCTTCATGACTGCAATCACAGCAGTCATCTTCACTCTCTGCTCAGTGACGATTGTTCACTGAATATTAAGGTTTTTAGACACTTTTAAACAAACATCCTCAGTCTGTGAGCAGTAACTATGGTACTATTAGGTATCCCAGCTTTAAAGGGCCCTGTGTGTGTGTGTGTGTGTATGCGTGTGTGCGTGTGTGTGTGTGTGTGTGTGTGTATGCGTGCGTGTATGCGTGCGTGTGTGTGTATACGTGCGCGTGTGTGTGTCGGTTGTTGAACAGGTCTGAGGCCTGAGGAGGACAGTGACATGTGCACACAAGCAGCGCACAAACACACAGAATATCAACAAGTCGAGCCAGTTCTGCCTCAGTTCTCCCAGATCCAGGTCCACAGTGTGTGTGTGTGTGTGTGTGTGTGTGTGTGTGTGTGTGTGTGTGTGTGTGTGTGTGTGTGTGTGTGTGTGTGTGTGTGTGTGTGTGTGTGTGTGTGTGTGTGTGTGTGTGTGTGTGTGTGTGTGTGTGTGTGTGTGTGTGTGTGTGTGTGTGTGTGTGTGTGTGTGTGTGTGTGTGTGTGTGTGTGTGTGTGTGTGTGTGTGTGTGTGTGTGTGTGTGTGTGTGATGATCACTCACTTGATGAAGCAGCGCGCGCCCTCAAAGGTGTATCCCTCTTCCCATCCTGTGGGCAGATCTGTGGAGAGGATAGACTTGGTCAAAGGGTCTGGACACACACACACGTGTTTATAACACACACACTATGATACACACGCATACACACATGTTTATAACACATACACTACAATACACACACATACACACGTTTATAACACAGACATGCACACACACATTTTTATAACACACACACACTACGATACACACACATACACACAGGTTTATAACACACACACTGCAATACACACACATACACACATGTTTATAACACACACACTACAATACACACACATACACACATGTTTATAACACACACACGTTTATAACACACACACTACAATACACACACATACACACATGTTTATAACACATACACACATGTTTATAACACACAGACACACACATCCACACATGTTTATAACACACACACACACAGACACATACACACCCACATGTTTATAACACACACACACAGACACACACATCCACACAGGTTTATAACACACACACACACACACACACACACACACACACACAGACACACACACACCCACATGTTTATAACACACACACACACACACACACACGCACACAGGGCGCTGCGGTGCTGGGCCCAGCTGTGCACGGTCCACCCTCCTGCTCACACACAAACGGTTCGTCTCTCGCGGCCTCACGTCGCGCGGACGTGACACAACTTTTAAAAAGTGTGTGTTGTGTGTGCTGTGTGTGTTGTGTGTGCTGTGTGTGTTGTGTGTGCTGTGTGCAGGTGAAGGCGGGAGAGCCTGTGCTACAGCCCCAGTCTGCCTCCGGGGCAGCTGTGGCCGCTCCGCCAGCTGTCCCCCGGTGACGCGCACGGCTCCCGGGCGCGTGCGTGTGCAGTGCGGGTACCTGGGGTCTGTCGGTGTCCGGTGAGCACGGCCTCTCCGCTGACAGGATGCAGCCAGGTCGTGCTCTGGGCTTGTTCACTGAGGAGAGAGCACAAACAGCGGTGAGAGGAGGTGGGAGGAGGTGAGAGGAGGCCGCACGGGCCCGGTTCTGACCCCCCCGGACCCCCCCGGAGCACGAGCCGTACTTAATGAAGAAGATCCGTCCGTCCCCGCGCACGCCGTAGGTCCACGCAGAGGGCAGACGGGAGAGCCAGTCCGGCCGAGGCTCCGCCATGTCTACACGGGAGCGAGCACTGCGCTCATGTGCGCGCCCCCGACACAAGCGCGCTCACGTAGCCGCCGCAAGCACGCGCTGAAGAAAAGAAACAAGCAACATGTCTGTGACTTCACACAACCCGCGTCACGTGATCACATTTACACCGCAACACAATACACACACAACTATACACACTGGAGTCAGACTACACAATATACACACAACTATACACTGAAATCAGAATACACAATATACACACAACTACACACTGGAATCAGACTACACAATATACACACAACTACATACTGGTATCAGACTACACATAGACACATAACTACACACTGGAATCAGACTACACAATATACACGTAACTACACACTGGAATCAAACTACACAATATACACACAACTACACACTGGAATCAAACTACACAATATACACACAACTACACACTGGAATCAGAATACACAATACACACACAACTATACACTGTAGACAGACTACACAATATACAATACAATACAATTTATTCTTGTATAGCCCTAGGTCACAACAGAAGTCATCTCAGAGGACTTAACACAACCATTGAAATCACCAACACAGGTCAGAGAATCAACAGTTAACACATGGAGAATATAAAGCACACACAGAAGAAAATGTCCATACATGTTGTAGAATGCTAAAGTGTCCTGATCATCACCAATCCTTTCTGTTGGACACTAACTGTCCAACAAGACCCTCCTGCATCGACAAGGGAAAACTCTTAAAAAAAAAACCCAGTGGGATAAAGTGAGAAACCTTGGGGAGAACTAGGGAAACCCACAGGGAGGGAGACCCATGTGAGAAAGGGATCCGCTCCTCCGGACGGACAGGCTAATGATCTAGGACAGGGGTGGCCAACCAGTCAGAGACTAAGAGCCAATTTTTTTTACTGTGTTACAGCAAAGAGCCACATCATACAAATGTGCACTACATAAACATCACCCCAACCCTTACACACGCACGCACACGGGCACGTACGCACACGAGCAGACACGCGCACACACATGCAATCTGTCTGTGCAGAGAGAGGTGTGCTCTGCTCAGACAGATTTATTGTAAATGTCATCAACATGATAATGACAGAAATTGACTCGTACAGCACTAAAGGGCTGAACTCTCCCCGGTTTGCGGGCGCTTCTACCGCTCGCTTCAGCCGCTCCCCGGTACTTTTTATTAATGGTTTGGCCCTGGTTCTAACCGGGCGAGTCGATACCAGAACAATTTCACGTCAGCGAACATCAATTATGATTCCGAAATGAATGCTTGCAATCTCTAACCAAGAAAAAAAAATCTAGTTTCAACCCAGTGTTCAGCAGAAACACAACTGTCTTTAGTAAAAGATATAGATTTGACACATAACACCAACACCACTTTAGCTGATTTAGAACCACAGACACATGCTCAGTATAAGACCAGATACTTTTGCATTTGATTGAAGACAGACACTCACCAGGCAGAGTTGGCTTATCTCCTGGTGTAATGCTAGTTGTTGTTAGCTGGTTTTAGCATGTTAGCCGGTGTTAGCCGATGTCCGTAAATGTAATCCATTTGGTCAAACCACCTCCAGACTTTTCGGGTCTGCCTCTACTTCTGCTGCTGCGATCTTTCATTTCACGGTTGTCACTTTTAAGCTTTTTAACTTTTCTCTGCATTGTCATGTTTGTGGGAATCATTCTGCTCCGTCCTTAGCGCTAGCTCCACAAACACCTTCTGGTTTCTGGTGGAACCAGCGAGATCAGGCTGGTGTCCTCTCCTCAAACTGAGGAAGGTGTTGCCCTCATCCAGCGACCAAGGAATTCTTTTCCGTACGGACGTCATGGTTCGAGGCAACGTGTTGTTTGTTATGATATTTGCTACAGCTGAGGTAGCAGCTGCAGAGTGATTGACAATGCATCTGACCAACCAGAATTGACGTTCGCCGACGTCAGATTGTTTTGGCGGCCTGGCTAGTGGAGTGAAGTCGGCCTTTACTATTGGTCAGAACTACATATGGAATGAAAGGCAGCGCCACCATCGAGGCGTTTTTGACGCTTGTCGAGTGAAAGCCCGAGAGCCGCACGGAACCAGCCAAAGAGCCGCATGCGGCTCACGAGCCGCGGGTTGGCCACCCCTGATCTAGGACCTAAGCTAGCTACAGAACGTGGACCAGTGGCCGCTGAACGTGGACAGGTCTGGTGCAGGACCGAAGCACTCCCAGGCGGGTCAGTCCGCAGGTGTAGATGGAGGAGGCCAGGCTCAGAGATCCCGTCATCGTACCATGAAACAGACAATGGGACAACGGGTGAATAGCAATGAACAAACTACAGTCAGAATCCTAAAAGTGCTAAACAGATATAGATAAAGTAGGAAGGAGGAGAGGATAGTGCTCAAGTTACCATACTTCTCCCAGCAAACTGACTCACTATGCAGCTTGACTGACACTCTGAGGAGTTTAGCCTTCCCAGAGTCTTACCTTCCTAACCATATGCTAAACTAAAGAGGACTGTTTTAAACCTAGCCTTGAATAAAGAGATTCATGGATTGCACACCAGGTGTGCAAACCGATCCAAGCAAACCTAATTATATATCATATACATCACATATACCATACATACCATATGTATCATATATAATACACAACATAACATACAGCATAATATATAACATAATATACAACATAACACAATACATTATTGTATAATATATAACATAATATATAACATAATACAGCATATATATATATATAATATATACACCATATATTATACATTACCTAATTATATGCTAAATTAAAGTAAAGTGCTTTAAGCCTGGCCTTGAACGTGGACACCGTATCTGCTTCCTTAACATAAATGGGAAGCTGATTCCACAGTAAAGGAGCTTGGTAGCTAAATGCTCTGCCACCAACAGTGAATATACACACAACTACACTGGAATCATAAAACACAATATACACAACTACACACTGTACAGATGCACACAACTACACACTGTACAGATGCACACAACTACACACTGTAGACCAGGGATCTCCAACATTTTTCAATCGGAGAGGCAAGGCAAGTTTATTTGTATAGCACTGTAAAGAACAGCTGTTCTTTACGTGTAATATTGCACTGCACTTTATGAATTTACCTTTTAAATGTCACATCACACTTTAAATTGCACTGTACACATATTGTCACATGCTAATTTGCACATATAATAAATTGCACACAACTGTTGGGTAGAAAGACATTTATTGAGGGCTTGGGTTGTCCAGAGTCCGGTCTGCGGAGACAAACAAAACAGTTTGAATGGGGCTTTGTGCAATATATGTGGTGTTTGAGTTAGTTGTGTTTGGTATGGGTTCGGGTGTGTGTGATGTGTGGTTTTAGTGGGTGAATGATATAAGTGTGGCTGTGATATGTATTTTAAAAATGTGTTTACTCACCACTGTCTTGTGTCCAAGTGCGTGGGCCAAAAGAGTCCCCGGGCCACAAACACCGGCATTTATGGTTCCGGCTGGACCAAGTCAATGAATTGGTGGAGGGGGGATCTAGCACTGTTTTAGTCATAGTTGGTATAGATATTTTTGTAGGAGGGTGTTTTAGGAGTATATTTTTGTAGGGGGGTGTTTTATTATTGTAACTGGTTATTGGTATTTTAATGGAGGGTTTTAACATAGTTTTTAGAAGCTAATGTTAATGCTATACCCCTGGAGTTTTAATTGGTTTTACCCAGTAGTATATAAGGCGCCCATTTTTACCATTCCATTGTCCTGCTGCTGGGGAACACATGCTCCTGTCCTTCAGCCACTTTGTTGGTTTGTTTTTGCAGTTTTGCACCCTTTTCTTTGTCTGCACTGGTCACTTTAAAAAAAAAAGGAAAAAAACAGAAAATAAAAATAAGTGGACCAAGCTGAAGCCTGCCTCCGTCAACTTTGTTTGGGTATATCTCACTGCCATCCAGCCGCTCAAAGCCAGGCCTGCTAACAATTGGTGTCAGAAGTGCTGCCCTGCCACAGTGAGTAGATCAAGACAATGATGACTAGAGGAGGAAAAAGGGATGAGGAACCAGATCAAGGAAATGTTGACACGTCTGATCCTCAAGGGGCCACCGGTGGGCACAGTGATAAAGTGGAGGAGCTGACTGCTCTCGTGAAAGCATTGATCGAGAAGCAGGATGCAAGAGACAGAAAGCATGATAAAGATCAGCTGCAACAGGAGCAACGCTGGAAGACCATGCAACGGCAGGTCCAACGGGTCCAGCAGCAGCAATATGGAAGGTCCGAGCACTCTGGGTTGGATGTGCGAGGACATATGGAGACACCTTGTGACAACGACACAGGTGATTGTGATGATGAGGCAGACCCCGGCGGCTATAGCTACAGACCGCAGAGGGAGGCCGCACTGCCATGTTTCAAACCAGGAGATGACATTGAACATTTTTTGATTACTTTTGAGCGGATGGCCAGAGTCTATCAGTGGCCAAAAGAAGAGTGGGCGGTTCGTTTAGTCCCATTATTGACCGGGAAGGCACGCAGCGCTTTTGTGCAAATGGACATTCGGCACTCAAACATATATGGAAGAGTAAAGGACGCTATATTAGCAAAATATGAGATCACAGAGGAGACGTACCGGCGACGCTTCAGGTCCCTTCAACTTGAGCCAGAAGAGACGCCACGGGAGCTGTACGTCCGCCTCAGGGACTTGTTGAACCGTTGGCTCCAACCTGAGAAGGCATCTGAAGAGGAGATCTGGGAGAAGCTCATCCTGGAGCAGTTTCTCCAAATGGTTAACCCCGAGCTTGAAGTCTGGATCCGGGAGAGAGACCCCGAGAGTGCAGAAGAAGCATCTCGTCTCGCAGAGTCCTTCATGGCTGCACGCAAAGGACCCAGAGCTGGCTACTTTGGACGGGAGCCCCGCTTCGCCCAGCCAAGTAAGTCCTTTGGGGGTGATCAGGGTCGTGGTCCTGATTCTGGGGGGTTTAAGAGTAGGCCTCCATTTTTTCAGTCA